CCATAGTTTTGTCCCACCCTGTATCTGCCTAAGTGGGACCCCTTTGTCTCTACCTTAGCCCCGCATGGTTTTGTCCTATAAAAATAACCTGAAGGAGACAGCTTCCTGGGCAACCTGCTTGGGACCCCCTTCTGTCCCTCTGTGACAGAAGCTTTCCTTTCCAATAAAGTTTTACCTTCAGCCTCCATTTGTTCCTAAAATTCATTCTTCGGTTTTAGAGAACATGAACTCATTCAGGCCATGTTGGGAATTTCACGTCCCTATATCAATGTATACCCATTGCCTGACCACTAGATCCGTGCTTGCTTAAACCAAAAACAGGAGGTGACAGACATGACAGAGGGTTATCTGCCACTTGAGGTCGGGAGCAGCTATACGAGTTGTAGGGCATCTGCACAGATAATAGAAATCATTTCATCTGGAATGAGGCCTTACATAGTGTAAAGTTATCCCCATCCCTCAGTGGGTATGTTGAAGCCTTACCTTAGTATAGCTGTGCTTGCAGTAAGGAAAGATGAGGTCATGAGATGGGCACTGGTCTGATGGGACTTAAAAAGACATTTACAGGGAGATAGCTTAATAGAATAAGCGTTTGCCTGGCAAGCACAAGGTCTTGAGTTCAATCCCCACTTCTGCGACAACAACAAAAAGACATTTACAGAAAAAGAACAGAAAGTAGGGTGTGATGAAGATGCCCGTAATCTCAACGCTAGGAGGCGGAGGCAGGAGAAGCACAATTTTGTTTGGGGAATTGAGGAACTTCTTGAGATCCTATCTCAAAAAGTAAATGTAAAGGGCTCAGGGAAAAGGCCCTGGGTCAATCCCTACTACTACAAAAATAACATTAAAGTTAGGGGCTCTGGTGGTGGTTTTGATGGTAGAGGTTGAGCCTAGCATTGTGTGCACACTGCAGTGCTTTATTGCTGAGTTGCACCCCAGGGACTAGAGAGGATTTTCCATTTGATTTTCAAGGATTTTCCTCCCTGAAATTGTTTTAATGTTCTTGTCTTGGTTTACGTTTCTCTTTTTGGGACAAAATACTTGACATCCAAAATTAAAGAAGAAAGATTTATGTAGCTCACAGTTTATAGAGGTTTCAGTCCATAATCGGGGGCTTGAAGGCAGTGGTGCATGGTAGAGGGCAGTGGTTCATGGCTGTGGCAGAAAACAGCAAATGCAGCAAGAGCAAAAAGGGAGGAGCAGCAGCAGATCGCAAGCCTCTCCTCCCATGGTCCTGTTGCATCCAGGCTATCCACCCCAGGGTGGGTGTGGCACTCACAGCCATAATCCCAGCATTGGATCATAAATTAATCACAAACTCTAGAAGCCCACCCCATGATTTAATGACGCTTTGCCGGGACATCTAAACCATAACAGTTCTCAAGTAAAACAATAGCAAACATTTTTTTAAAAAATTTTATTTATTTATGTGTGTGTGTGTGTGTGTGTGTGTGTGTGTGTGTGTGTGTGGCGAGCTCAGCCCACCAGGGGGCGGGGCTGGCTAGCATGTGGTGCTGGGGGATTGAACTGCGGTCCCTGTGCTTTGCTAAGCTTGTTCTAAGTAGGTGCTTTAGACCACTGAGCCATCTCACCAGCCCCAATAACAAACATTTTAAAGGCTCACCTTTTAAAATTGTTTGTAGGTTTTTGACAGTCACTTAACATCATCCAAATCAGGGAAAGTGAAAATCTGTGTGATTATGTGGCCAGGCATTTGAACCAACAACTCAGGTATTTCCTGGTACATGGTAAAGAATAATCCATCTTGGGGGAATGCGGGAAGACAAATCAAGGTATATCATGTATAGGTACAAATTTCCTATGATCAATGTGATCATTGGATATGCCTAAATTGTACCAATGCAAAGTTTAAAAAAGCAAACAAACAAAAAAACAGGCCAGGGCCAGGGAAATCATGGCATAAGCACCAGCCTGGCAAGCGCAAGGTCCTGAATTTGATCCATGGTAAAAAAAAAAAAAAAAAAAAAAAAAATTCAGTACTTCCTTACCAAACTTTTTAATTTGCCCTCAGTGTCAGAGAGGACAGGCAAACTCAGCCCCAACTTTCAAAATGAAGATCATTTATTTTCTAACAGCCATGTAACTGCTTATTTGCCACCAGTGCATCAGTCCTCACCATAAGGCTACATTCCTTTGAAAGGACAGTGGTCCTCAAGCCCTCAACTGTGTGATGAAGTGATAACGTCCCACATTTATGGGGCTCCTTTGTTCAAGGCAGCAGTTCCTTGTCCCCTTCATGGTCATTCCTTCATTTTCCTTCATTTTGCTCATCTGAGCAAGACTGGCCAGTTCCTCCTGTCATGGGGTCAGACCTTTTACATCTAGATGTGGAAACCTACAAAATCAGTGTCTTGGGGCTCTGTCCCTACACTAGGGATTCTTGTTGGGGGAGGTTGTTGTTTTTGGGTTCCCTAAATTAGTGTTCATAATATTATCAATAAGCTCATAATGCATCTCCTGTGGAATGGTGTGTATTAGCTTTCAATAGAGCCTCAAATGAATAATTGTTTAAAAGTTAAGCCCTGAGGATAGATCTTAGTGGTAAAGTGCCTGCCTTTCATGGGTGAGACCCTGAATTCAATTTTCAGCATACCTCCAAAATGAAAGTTAAGGTTTTTAGTCCAGCACAAAGCTGTTTTTATAGTCTTGATGTAAGATAAAATGCAGTACATGAGCATTAGAGGCAAAACCACTTCCCAAAGTAACATATTTGCTATGCATTTGGTACTGAACATTGATGAGTTATTATGCCAACTTACACAGTGCCACTTTCCTAACAGACCACACCCCTTGGGAGCCCTCATTCATTGGTTGGACTGACCAGTATGTCAGCCTTTTGCCTGGAAGTTTCCTCTGCCCCAATGCTGGGGCAAGACCTCCACCTGTCCAGTGTGGTTTCCTGCTATGTGATCCTAGAGCCATAAAATAAACCAGCCAAGTGTGGGTGGAGACCAGGGGAGAATGGAGCCAAAAGTGTGGAGGAACCTTTGTGCTGGTCTCCTTGGAGCGTCCCTATTTAATACATGGGAGAACTTTGACTCAGGCAAAACCATTCTGTTCTCACAGAAGGCTGCCCAGGATTTCCACATCATTGCCAGCATAACTGTCTATTTGGGGTGCACTGTGCCAGGCACTGA